TTTAAATTTTATGTGTATGAGTGTATTGCTTGCATGTATGTAAGTGCACCTGTGTTGTGCAATGACCACAGAGGTCAGATGAGGGCATTGAGTTCCCCTGAACTAGAGATAGGGACGGTTGTTAGCCTCTATGTGGGTGCTTGGAATTGAACCCCGATCCTCTGCAAGAGCAGCCAGTGCTCTTAACTGTGCCATCTCTCTAGCCCCAGGCTTATTCATTTTTCAAAAATATTTTTATTTTTTATTTGTGTGTTTGTCTGTGCCTGTGTCTGTATGTGAGCCTATGTGTGGTTGCTCATGGAGGCAGGAGGAGGGTGTTGGAGTCCTTGGAGTTGGAATTGCAGGCAGTTAGGAGCTGCCTGTCATGGATGCTGAGAACCCAATTCCAGTCCTCTGTAAGTGTAGCAAGCACTCTTAACCAGAGAGCTGTCTCTCCAGCCCCAGTGGAAGCACATTATTATGGGATTAAGCAATAGTAGTATCTGATGAAAGTGGTTTGTCTTCTGGCTATTTTCAAGGACATAATGTTTTTACTCTTGTGCTGTTTTGCTGCTCTCTTCCCTCCCTGTTCAGAGTCGGGGTCCCAGCCCATCCCTAGATAAGGGACCTTGGTAGACACTTGACATAAACATGCTCAGGTCTGAAGTTGGGGTGGTTGGGGAGAGAGCAAGCCTGCTTCCAGCTCCAGCTTTTCAATGAACTCAAACAACATATGACACTTTACCAATATAATGTACATTATGTGAATGCAGTGATAGGATGAGGGCCAGCAAGATGCTGAGGGTGGTGTGGAGGGGGTACAGGCTCGTACTGCCAAACTCGACAAGCTTGGTTACCTGAGTTCCATCACCAGGAATATGTGGAAGGAGAGAACACCTACAAGCTGATCTCTACCCCTGCCCCCGTGCTGCATGCATGCAAGTGTGTGTGTGTGAGAGAGACAGAGACAGAGAGAGAGAGACAGACAGACAGGGACAGAGACAGAAAGAGAACACAAAATAAATAAATATAAAAAAATTGAAGTAAGATTAGCTGCTCTGCCCTGTTCAGCTTTTCTTCCTTTTTCTGAAAAATGTAATGGTAGGACTGGAGAGATGGCTCAGTGGTTAAGAGCACTGGCTGCTCTTGCAGAGGACCTCAGTTAGTGCCGAGCACCCACATAGTGGCCAACAATTGTCCGTAACTCCAGTTCCAGGAAATCCAACATCCTCTTCTGACCTCCATAGGCATTGTACAATATGGATGCAGGCAATATACTCACATAAAATAAAACACACACACACACACACACACACACAAAACCCAAAAATGTAATGGCCTTGGGGTTCAGCCATGGTGCTTGTAAAATAATTGGTTTATTCATAGACTTTTGGGGTTTTATTGTTGTGGTTTTATATTATTGTTGTTCCAGGAAGCTTTTGATTTCCTGTTTTATACAGACATATTACAGTGGTCTTACTGTTTTAGGCAAGTTTGTCCAGTGGAAGACCATCTACATCCCCTACAGGAAGTGTCACACAACAGTCAAGTATGTCCCAAACATCTGTAAGTATCCTAAATTTTCCCCTGGATTTAAACATTTTGTTTTCTAAAAGTAAACTATTGTTATTTATGAAGCTTCTGTTTAAGTTTGAGGACCTATAAATTGGAGTGGTAAGGTTGGAAAAGTCAGAGCTAATGTTAAACTTCTGAAAATCTGAGTCTTAAAGCCTTTTTATATTCTGGCCTATCTTTCCTACCTATTATGTTCAAATCTATTGAGATTCTAAATTACTTCAGTTTTCAGTGTTTATTGAAAGCCTGATAAAGTGTGCCATGTCTTTTGAGGACATGTGAACATTTCTAGCATTGTGCAGTTTGTATTTTAGAGGTTGTTTGAGAAGCTTTGGTTTGATTTCCGGCACCAAGAAACAAAAAAACAAAACAAAACAAAATGGAAGGAAAGAAAAAAAAGAAGAATACCATTTAGCTTACTTGAGTAGTTTGTAATTTGGATTAAATTTGCAAGTATCCATTCAAGGGAGGAGTAATTTATTTGGGAAAGGAATAAAAGCAAGCCATTTTGCTATTTTACATGTAATATACTGGAAAACTGCATAAAGATTCCTGAGTAAAAGACATCTATAGACATCTATAGACACGCTAGCTTTTTAGTTTGATGTAATTTCAAATTAAAACTAATAAAAATTCTGTGCTCTGTCTATTCAGGTTGTCTGTTAGCATTTTGTTACGTTAACTTGTCTTTTTCTCTGTGTATATGTATTTTTTTTTCTGAATTACTTGAGAGTCAGTTGAGATATATCCCTAAATACCTTGATATGTATTTCCTAAGAACAAGGTCATTCTTTTATGAAACCACAGGAAAATTATTAAAATTGTGTACATTTAATTGGTACAATGCAGTTCCTACTTGGCTGTTTTAGTTATCTTGAGATAGGTTTCTGGGTAATAACAAAGCCATGGGTTCAGGGTCTAGGGCTTTAAGGCAGGCTGCCAAATAACTATCTAGAGAGATGGGAGTGTAGGGAAGGCATGGGATCCTAGTGGGGAAATGAGTATTATGTAAACTCGAGTCAAAAGTCTAGTCATAACATGAGGAAGCTATATATGTAGATGGGAGTAGACTGTTATTAATTGAATGTATATTCATATCAAGCGGGTATCAGGATCATCCTCTACTTTGTCCTTTCTAGAAGAGGGCAGTGAATTCTAGACTGTTTTACCTATTTTTGTAGTGGTTTTATGATTGCCTGTTAAACTAATGGTGACCGAGCTTTGAGGTTGGTGTCATCAGTGCTTCAACTGAACAGGGCCAAGGTTTAATTAAATTTGGTTTGCCAAAATGAAATTTGAACCAGTTAACTCTGTTGCCCCCCCCCCCAAAAAAAAATGAAAACAAGTTAAAACAACAAAATGAATCCCAAATGGGCAGCCCTAAACACATGCACACATGAGCACCACTAAATGGACTCAGTGCATTATATGTGTATGTTATATGTATACATACGTACATATATATTTATTTATTATATTTTATTATTTTTATGTGAATGCATGTGTGTAAGTGCACCTGTGTCGTGCAGTGCCCTCGGAGGTCAGAAGAGGGCGTTGGATCCCTGGAACTGTAGTTATAAATGGTTGTTAGCTGCCATGTGGGTGCTGGGAACTGATCCCAGGTCCTCTACAAGAGCAGCCAGTGCTTTTAACCACTGAGCCATCTCTCTAACCCCCATATGTATATGTAATAGTAATAAAGAAGAAGACAAGAAATTGTGCTGGAGAGCAGGAAGAAGTTGGAGGAGGATGGGGAGGGGTGGAAATAACGGCCTTTTATTAGTGGTAAGATGAATACAAACATGCACTAGAGACCTTAATTAGGAGTGTTTATTTATTACTTATTTTTCGAGATAAAGTCACTAGCCAAGGCTGATCTTTGTATTTGGCCGAGGATGACTTGAGTTTCTGATCTTCCTGCATCCGCTTCCCAAGTGTTGGGAGTACACGGATGTACCACCATATCCAACTCCAATTAGGAGTCTTTAAAAGAAAGTTTAGGCTGGGGATGTAGCTTAGTATATAACACTTGTTTACTGTGCTTGAGACTCTGAATTCAGTCCCCAGCACTAATAAAACCAAATAAAGCTATTATTGGCCTAAAAATATATTTACCATGTTAATAATGAAGTGTATGTAAAAATTAGTAAGAACATACTATTTCTACCTGTCAAATTTGAAAACAAAAAATATTTAGACCATTCATTGCTGGTAGGGAGTGGAAAAATATGAGGCACACTCATATGCTGATAGTGGGGATATCATTAGTCACAATTTTTCTCAAGAGGTGTTTGGCCATACATATGAGAACTGAAAACGTGTATGTGTGCTTGTTCTCTTGTGTAGCACTCTTCATTTTTGGTGATACTATTAAAAATATGGCATAAAGTTAGGTAGGGATGTAGCTCGTGATAGCATGTGCGGTTCCAGGTTTGATTACTAGCACCATAAAAAAGCAATTATAGATAATTTTGTGTGTATGATGGTTTGTAATACTGAAAATTTATACACAATATAAATGTGTGAATTAGCTAAATAGACAGTCATTCATATAGGGAAATACTGTAGCTCTTCTGTCATCAGAGTGGTACTTATCTTAGTCATGAAGAGATTATCATATATTTCAGTTTTACTCAACTGTGTTGGGAAGCAGAGCTATTTCTGTGGGTAAGTGATATGATCTCATACCTGCCATTCGAAAAGCAGGCTCTTAGAGGCAAAGACAGAAGCACGGAGGTCAATTAAGTGGCCTTTCTTATGATCCATGTGAAAGATAATTGGTATCTTGGACCATGATGGTGATGTAATAGGTAGTGAAAAGTAGTTGGCCAGATTCTGAATTCTTTTTTTTTCTAAAACATTATTGTAGAAATTTGCATATATGTTGAAAGAAGAGCTAGCTGGATATACTGGTGGACTGAGTAAAAGATGTGAGGAAAAAAGGAGTCAAGGATGACTTCATAGTCTTTAGGCATAAGCATCTGGGAAGACAGGCAGATGCTGGAGAAGAAAATCAGGGGTTTGGCCACATTAACTTGGTGATGTATATGAGATATACACTTGTAGCTGTTGAGATGGCATCATGTATGGAATTTGGAGTTCATAGGGAAAGTCTAGTAATTAATGATTCTCATACAGCTCATTGAAAAGTCAAGTCATAGGGGCTGGAGAAATGACTGAGGTTAAGCGTGCTCACTGCTTTTCTAGAGGACCTGAGTTCAGTTCCTACACCCACATGAAGCAGCTCATAACCACCTGTAACTCCAGCTCCAGGGGATCAAACACCCTCTTCTGGCCTCTGAAGGCCCTGCACTCACTCACATAAACACACATATGTACATATAATCCAAAAGTAAGAAGATTCAGGTCATAAGAGAACCCAGTGGCTTTACTGTTGTAGTATATCATGAAGGTTTGGATGAATTGAGGAGATACGGCCACCTGAGTTCTCATGTTAAAGGCCGAAATCAGTGGATGACTTAGGGTGAGTTATTTAACTCACCTGCACCTCAAGTTTTTGTGAAATTGTCTATTTAGATTTTTTTTAAAGTTTTTCTTCATCCAGATATCTCTGAATTTAGATCAAAGAGAGATATTTAATAAATAATGATATGGACTAAATTGTGTCTTCCCAAAATTCATGTGTTGAAGCCCTAGTCTAATTATGATAGGAATGGGGCCTTTAATGAAGTGACTTAAAGTTAGTGAGGAAGGGTTACCAGTTACCTCTCTCTGTGGGGGTACAGTGGGAAGTGAGGAAGTGAGCAGACTGCAGGTCAGGAAGAGAGCTCGAACTGGAAACTCTGTTTTGGATTTCCCAGTCCCCAGAACTGTGAGAAATCAATCAGTTTCTATGTTTTTAAAGTTTATGGTCCTCGGAATTGAACCCAAGTTTTCATGTGTGCTAAGCACAAGCTCTACCACTGAGCATAATTCCTATCTTAAATTTCTGTTGCTGAAGTTACCAGGTTGTGGTATTTTGTTAGGATAGATTAAGACAGATTGGGCTTATATTAAGTGTTAGCCAGACAGAGCAGCTCTCTGATCTTTTTGGATTTTGGGTTTTGAATAATACTGTCTTTGAGGAAAGGGTTTTACTAAGTAATTTGAGAACCTGTGGTTCGGCTGTTATTTGGTTACTTTCTTTAATGGCTTTCATGTATACTAAAAAAAAAAAAAAAAATACATGTGCCTGCTACATTGAAAGGGGAATGGTAGGAGTAATAAGCATCAATTAGAGGATGTAATGCATAATTTTAAAACACATTACTATGAATGGATTATTTGTAAGCAGCGAATCATTTTAGGATACATTTCTATTCTAAATTGAATTGTAGCAGAGAGTCTGATCCTGATCTAATAGTGGTGGTTATAGGAAGACAGTCAGTAGGTGTGTTGGCTAGCTTTAGTGTCAGCTTGACACACCTGGGTTGAGGGAGCCTGAATTGGGGGATTGCCTCTATTGGACTGGCCTGTGGCCATGTCTGAGGGGCATCTTCTTGATGAGTGATGTGGGAGGGCCTATCCCACTGTGGGTGGTGCCAGCCCTGGACAGGTAGGCCTGTGTTGCATAAGAAAGCAGGCTGAGGGAAGCAAGCCAGTAAGCAGCATTCCTCTATGGCCTGTGCTCCAGCTCCTGCTTCCAGGTTCCTGCCCTGAGTTCCTACCTTGGGCTCCCTTATGAACTGCGACCTGGGAGATGTAAGATAAATAAACCCTTTCCTCCCCAAGTTGGTATTGGTCAGAGTGTTTTGTCACAGCAATGAAGAACAAACTAGGACAGTAGGTATATCTATTGTTCAACATTGTGCTAGTTGTTCTGAGGGTACATGTGAGTTACAGACCCTTCCTTCAGGGACAGTAATTTGAAGAATTATACCTAGACATAGCAAGTATCTTTTTTATAGCAAGTGTATTAACAGTATATAATAAAATTGTACTTGGCTTCCTTTCCATAACCAGTATAGAAGTGAATAGAAAAGAATTTGGGG